GCAAACATTGGTTTCAAAATATCTTAAACATCTCATGCAGACACGACACGTGACACTTATGATGACAATAGGATCGATTTTGCATAAAAATTTAGTCTTATGTGCTGAAAATACACAAAATGTTTCAGCAATATCTACGGTAAAAGTTTTTATATATTTTATCGTCATTTCAAGAGTTTAATACGCACGTAAAGTATCATGCTACCATAGTATTCAAAATTTAAAATATATTTAAGGTAAAATCTAATTCAGTAATTACAAACGTGTTGTGACTCATACAAAGCTAAGCGGCTGCCTTAGGGCAGGTTTTGTGAGCCTTAATGATTGTAGCAGTTCAGGTAAATAAGGTAAATTCAAAAAATCCCTCATTTACCATTAGGGATTTTTCGTAGAATCATCTCTGTGCCAAATTCAATGCAAGATATGTAAGCTAAAGTATGGAACTTTGTTTTTGTGATAATCAGGAAAGTCTCATCAAATCTGAGTAGGAATCATCAATTCATCTATTTTATAAAAGCGAAAGGTCACTGACTGACTCACTTATCACGAAATCTCGGAAACTACAAGTGCTAGGAGTCTCGCATGGTTCCTTTCTCAATAAGACGAGATTTTGGAAAATTCAACCCCTTAGGGGATAAAACGGGGTCCACGCGTACTAAGTCGCGGGCGGTCGCTAGTTAGGTATAAAGTACCTTAAAGTATTTTCGTATGTAATTTAACCCAAAAAAAAGACTAGATTAATAACTAAGTTCTGTTAATCAATATACACGTGCTTCATATACTCGTATTAATTGACAGAAGTACCCTTCGTCGAAACTACGGTAATCATATAAAGTCTCCAGATCATAGGTTATCGATCCTACTAAGTAGTAAGTACTCACTTGCCGACAGTGAGATCACTGGCACTAATTGAAAAGTTTCAGACCTCCATCCAACCATTTGCTGGAGATGATATCATTAAAACTTATTTTGATCGAGCAAGTGACTAATTAAATGTTTTTCACACGGTTAAACTTAGGCTTTATTAAATTAGTCTTCTCAATTATAAGATAGAAAATCATTATAAGTACATGATAGAAAGGTACCAAGATTGATACGACCAACTTATCACCCATTTTATTCCTTCTTTAATTAAAATATCTATTGCACAAAAATACTAACTAAAAATACCAGTGTCCCTCAAGTTTTTTTTTAATTCACTGTGTTTCTTAAATAGGTATAGTTTCAGTATTAAAGCTACTAATCACTATCCCCCTTATTAATAAAAATTTATACCCGGGATGAACACTGGATTAAAATGACATTCCCATACCTACTAAATAACAATTCAGGCGGGCGGCGCAGAACCGGTCTTTGTAGAAATCCTTGGGGGGAGGCCTTGGTCCAGCAGTGGACGTCATTTAGCTGAAATGACTTCTTTAGAACTTACTTTTATAAGCAATTATTTCGAATAACTCATACTTAAAGTAGTCATATTATTTCTCTCTTTTTTATTTTATATCCTACCGAAAGAACCAATACCCGCGTCCAATCATAAACATGTCAGCCGCACAATCGGGACATCGCCCGCAACGCGTAAGCCTACCCGCTTAGCGATCAGCACCTTTAATTAAAAACTTTAATATCTTTCCTGGACAGTTTAGAGGTGTTCTGAAAGTAAGTAAGCCAGCTGAACAGTTTTTGAGGGTGACCAAATTTTGAACACGTTTACATTCTGGAACGATGAAATGGTTTAAAACAACTAAATGGACAACAACAAATGTGAATTAAAGCATTCCAATTCCATTTCGCATAACTACAAATTGAGTACCAAATTAGTACAAAGAGTGCAATTTTGAGTGCAAGGTGTGGCTGAACGGGGTCGAAATGTCGAACAAAAACTCAACGTTCTGGTAGTAAAGGACAAACAGCTTCTTTTCAGCATTAAATTATTTTTACAAAGCTTTGTAAGAGTTCATTTATGAAAAGTATTTTCTACTGCTTGGGATGTCTAAAACTTAAAAAGACAACTAACGTAGGATTTAATTCGTTATTATATTTTTCTTTATAGTAAAATAAAAATATTTCCAAATAATAAAGCTCCTTCCACACAATCAGCGCATCGATCTCGCAAGCCTACTCAGCTAACAGCGCCACTAATTAAAAAGTTAAGGGGATGCCCCGGACAGACAATTTTAGGACTTTTTGTCGGACCACGACGGCTGCATTTACACAATTTTAGCCCCGACCATAGCGCTGTAAATTGATTGTTCGGGCAAATTCGTAGTTCGCTTTTTGAGAACATAATAGCTTCGGAACTTGATCGGAACAATTATTTTCGAGTACGTTTTGTTTTTATCTAACTGTATTTTTATAAACTAGCTTCGCACGGGTGTACTACTGAAAAAATGGTACATTTTTTTTCTTTACGACTACAAAATTACTCGTAGAATCAATCAAGGTTTTGTCAATTTACAAAAACAGAGCTGCTCAATCATTCCGAACGTAATTTATTGCAACCTTAATTTTTTTTCGACAGTAAGATGTACGTTTAAATTATTAAAATACCGCCTAAATTGTGCCGTATCTTTTCTATACTTCTTTCTCTTTCTTTTCTTGTCTTGTGTGGTGTACAATAAGACTGAGATGCACCACCTAACTATAACGATAACCGGTATTTTTATATGGAGTTTGACAGATTTTTGACGTGTGTGTGTTAAAGTAATGTGGTGAAACCCAGCCTAATCTACCTATCTAACTATTAAGACGTCTTTCTCAGAAAACAAGCAATACAAGATAGTAAATGAGATATTAAAAGGCTATTTAAACAGTTAAACTCACAATAAAGCTCGTAGCAATCAACCTTGCTTGTATCGTGTGGGTGTCGATTTGTCCCGATGCGTCCATTTTCCGATTGGTGCAGTATCGCCCCATTAGCGAACTCTTTAATTAACCGATTGTTTGCGAGTGCGGTTGGCTTCTTCATTATTTTAAGAGGTGTTCCGCTTTTTAAGAGCTGTTGTGAAGCTTTCAATTGGGAGCGGTGTAATGTGATTTGTTAAAGTTATAAATTGACGTGGGCTTTGTTCAGTTGTTTTCGTAAAATGCGCAAAAGCAATTAGCAAATATTATGTTTACTGTCAAAGTAATACTAACAGAACAGAACGATTAGTTATTCACGTGTATGTATCTATGTTAGAAGAAGAAACAACTAAAGAGCTGCCGACAGTTTTTTTGAATTCGTGTAACTTGATTATTATCAAAATCGGCACTCCTCTAGCGAGATTGTGATAAAAAGCTCCATTCAATATTTTGCACACTTAAATTCCAACAAAATAATAACGGGACTATTAATTCCCACCTCTCCTTCCCACCGCTGAAACTCCTGTGTAGCCAGGATCTACAGCTTGACCGCCAATAAAAACCCAACCAGTGAAGGTCAAGTTTGTCCCGGGGGAAAGTTAACTGTCATTGGACCCGCAACGAAATTAATCAGAAGAACATAGGAGTTCGAAGTTAAGGCCGATTCGATTTGGCCGATTCTTCATACAATTTAAAATCGGGCACACTATCGGCCAACTAAAAATCAACGGTGTGCGCCTACTCTTAAGAAAAGGTATGCACCAACAAAATAATAATGATCTATCCATGCTAGACATCAGCTATGAATTATTGTTGTCAGGCATGTTTTAAGCAAACACTCCGCAGCGACACCAGTGACATCTGAGTTGTTGGCGCAGCAAACGAGTAGACTGCCCACTATGATAGATGAGTTTGCTATGTTATTGCATGAACAGAAGTTTGTTTTGAAAACACGTTTTATCAGACAAGCAATTAATTGTGGGGTGAATAATAACTGCGCCATTTTATTTATTGTCAGGTTGCAAAACACTGCGTCACTTTGTCGAAACCAATTCTTACCTTCATTTATTTTCGAATTCAAATACTGCAGGTAAATTCTTATTTTAGCTTTGAATAAAGTCTTTGGTTCTTTTTGCCTACTTTAGATTGCATTTAAGTTTTTTTTTTATTAAGTGGAATTACCAACACTAAGGCTGGGTTGTACCATTTTACTTTAACTTTGACAAACGTTAAAAATCTCTCAAACTCCATACAAAAAGCTACGGTTTTCGTTATAGTTACGGTAAAATTTTGATGGTGCAACTCAGCCTTAAAGTAGAGTTGTCTGTCTACTGCTGGTTTCTATACGATCCCTATCTTACTTTTCATATAAACTACATGTTTAACACATGCTCGAAGTCTGTGCCAGTATAAACTTCAACAAGGTCTAGCCACTTTGCCATCCAATTTGTCGTAACCTAATATAAAGTTAAAGAACCGACGGAGACCGACGATTCATTCGGCAGCCATCGCCGCAGCGAGTTCGCAACTATTCCATCACCGCTGTAAGGTAGATAGGCAAATAGCTCAATGCTTTGTAGACGTGTTGCTTGGCCCGAGGCAGGGGAGATAGTGGGCTGGGTTACAGGGTAAATTGTGAAGACTGGTGTCGGTCAAAACTGAACCATAATTGGTTATTTTACTATGAGTTCAAGACTCACGTTCTCTATGCATCTCGCTCTATAAACAGCTTTAAGAATCACATTGAAATTTAGTATTTTTGTAGCGCGGTATTTCATAAATTACAAACACGCACAAGCACATACTTATGCCATTGAAATTTTAGCGCTAAAAGTATAGAACACAAATCGCGCAAACCAGAACGTGAACTTCCAGATTACGGCTAATGGCATTTGGGGAATTAAAATTGTAAAAACTGGTAATAATTACTATCCATTTAAGCGATTCACTGTTCACAAAATAGTAAAACAATATGTCCTGTTGTTTTACTATTTTGTGAACAGTGAATCGCTCTCCTCCTCCTCTTAATTGAAAGTCTCTAAACCACCCTAAAGAAAGTGAGTAAAAAGGCAAAGATATGAGATGCTGCGCTTGGGCGATTTAGGTCTATTCCGCTGGCCGCTTATATCTTAAACCTGCCCAAGGTGTTGCGTGCTTACCGGCATAGTTTGACTTCCGTGCAGGCTGGTGATGGCCGCCTGCGCCTCCTGGTGTGAGCTGAACTTCACGAACGCACACCCTGCAACAAGCAAACGGTTTTAATGCACACGCATTCCGACTCACTTGTAGTAACAATAGGCTAGTTGCCTAAAAAAATTTTTTTAGTCCGTAATGTTTAATATCAAAAAATATTGGACACATATATTTTTATTTGTCAATCTAACAAATAATTACATAGTTATGGTGCGTTGAAGTTGCGCACGACGTCACAACGTGCGGCATTTTTAAGCAAGCGTTGACGTCACGGGCTTCTTCTTATGAACTTTGGGGCGCTTTATCTCTTTAAATTTTCATTAGTTTGAAAAAGTGAAAAATACGTGTAGAGTATTTTTTGATAAGTTAACTGACGGACTAATTAAAACTCTTGCTTTTTGACCCAGGCAACATCCCCATTGTGATAAGGCGCAAGTTTATTGTAATTTTGCAAGTGGTAAAGTACTGATAAACGAATAAAATGGATTAAAAGGTGAGCTTGAAGGTTGAATCGTTAGTTTTGCTCTATCGATTCATAATAGGTGAACATTGACTTATACAAATTGTGGTAATCGACTAATAAGATCTAATATAAAACAATGTCTTTCCATCTATCTACATATATCGTACGATAAACTGAGAAAGTGATTTTAAATACGAGTAGAGAAAGTGATTCAAGGGAAAGATTTTCATGTAAATACATTGCATCCGTATTCGGTTGATGTTTACGAATAAAAATAATTAAATGACACATAAATAAACAACAATTTATAATTTACAAAGATTTTGTTTTAAATGTTACAATATTACATAATTTCTCCTGTAATAATTTCCTAAATTAAATGAATATTCCGCTAATTGGAATGGTAAACAGTGATTAACAGTGGAAAGCTAATTAATCTTTATGCAGAAGCGTAGTGGTGTAAAATCGCGTTTCTCAATTAGCAGACCATCAATATTCACTGATTCAGACTGCATTAGCTTTCATCAGATTGGCCTAATGCTAACCAGCTGCCAAAACATACATTAACTCAATAAGTAGACCAAAACGTTAATGCAATCATAATTTAATCAATATCAAACAAGAACACTCAGGGTAAGAAAACTCCTTTTGTAGCACAATGCACAATTTTTGATGCGATCGAAGTCCTCCAAGATCTGATTAAATTCTTTGCGGATCTAAGGACAGTTCAGACTTGGTACTATCCAACTGTCATTGGGTTTCAATTCATTGCCATGCTCTTAGAATCTAGCTACATAGAGGTGTCATGTGAAAATGAGACTAATCTCTCTATATTCTGTAAGTAAACGATGTGATCAAATGTTGTCTAAATTCAAGATTTTAGCCTTTTAATAAATAAGAAGAAATTTGTGTCCTCTAAAGTACAGATGCATATATTAAAAATAGATTTTTTAGGATTTTTTACTGCCTTAAGGTAGTTTTCAATTTGAAAGATCACATTATTTTTAAACTCTACCCGAGTAACTGCAGCTCTATTGTATAATGTCTAAGCAACTTTACGAAACGAAGGATCATAACATACTTTTTCCAATAACAAGCGATCAAACCGTTACACCACTAGAAATATCAATCTTGATTTCACAGGTGGAACCGCGAAGCTAGTGATGTCCAAAGAGAGGTTTTGGAAAAGCAGATGAAGATTTTTTCTGTATTATTATTATTGGCGAGATTTAATTTACTAAGGCATACACAGCCATTCAAAACTACTATGATAATTAGATATTTAATTGTATCTTGAATAAGACTAGACTATGTATTATAGTATTGATAAGTGCACCTTATCGGTAGATGAGGTATCTTCGATGTATCGCAGCAAAGTGCAAAAGAACTTCAATTGAAAGATAATTAATTTGTCGATGAATCGATATCATCTCAAAGTAGTCCCTTTTGTTGCTGCACATCACTAGCAGAGGGGGAAGGGGTCATGTCTTAATGACGACTGATGGATCCTGCTTATGACGAGGGATTACGTAAAGCCAACTCGGTCGCAACTAAATCAGTTACGGTGATCTTTCGGTAACGCGGTGGATGCTTCCACCGCCTTTGTTTTCGTTATAAAAACATTCGCGTAAATTTTTATTGCAGTCTCTCCCGGAATTTAGGGAAATGTACGAGTTGTTGATGGTCTCGCTGGTTGGAGGGAGCCCTCGGTGAGTAATAACATCTCGTGGAAACAAAATGAATAAATTGCATTGTTTGCAAGTAGGTATTCTTGAAAGCTTTTACCTGTTTATGTGAATTATTAAAACGTTGCGAGTAAAAATAACTTGTCTGACGAAAAATTGAGAGCATTATATATTTTAGACCACATGTGCGTGCGTAGGATGTAAAGCTCAAAAAAGTTTCAGTTATCTGCTGAACAGAACAGAACTGTGAACTGATACATTATTAATATTTGCGGAAGTGGAAGTGATTTGCGGACACCTCTCCACAGGATGTTGTGTATAATCTATAAGCCCGGATTAGGAACGGACCTTTGCTCGCCGCTTTTTGCTGTAATCGAATGTAAACAATCAAAACCAAAACTCCCTCCCACATTAACCCCGCGTACGCGACCGAAATATAAGAACTGTACACACGGGTGTTCTATTTGCTAAGTATGCTCGTAACTTCTTATTGAATCAGCCTCAGATTCGGTAAAGGAGCGACCGTGAAAGGTAAAAACTCCACAGGGAAAATTGTGGCGACTATTTTATCTTCCGCGAGCGCTCGGCGAAAGTACGATTATGCCCGACTGGCTTTTATTCGTATTATCCTTTGTTCAACTGGATAAAGGACCATAGCCGAAACGTTTTCCGAAAAGGCGTTCGAAATGAATTAGGACGCAGTTTTAAGCCGCTTCGTGTTTACACTGAGAAAATAGAGACAGCGATGGGCCGTCGAAAAAAACAATTTGTCGAGTTCGCCGGCGTCGCGTGAAAGAATAATAACACGGGCGGAGTCGCGACGAGGGCCGGCCGCGGGCGCACCGGGAAGCCATTATGAGGACGTCACCCGGCGAGTGAGAAAGAAGTCAAAACTTCGCCGGCAAACATGGAACTATTTACTGCTTCCACATTCGACGACGTGTGCTCAGAAGTTGGCTGCAATTTGTTAACCTATCGCGGTGCACGCAGCCCGCGTGGCTCGCAGGTGACTTGGCCGCTGGCCAAAGATGTGTTTTCCTGTTGTTGGCACAAACTCACAGATCAGTTTTTATCGCGCGAAAGGCCTTTATAGCCGCCCGATAGCGGGCGCCTCCGTCGAAATGTTTTCGCGTCGCCGCCGAACACAAATATTATTGGATGGTTTTATGTATCGGAAGCATTATACGTTAAAAACTTTGGCACTCCACCGCTGATACAGCGACACTTCAAAATTGATGATAATGTAACTGAAGCACGGTGTAGGTACTATTTTAATGTCGCCGGCGAACAATAGTGCAACTTTTGTCACGTTACGTTGTTTGTTTGTTTGCTCCGGCAGAACTGAAGATTTTCCGCGCGAACGCTGAAAAATTGGGTGAAATATTGCCGTTATTTCCAAACAATTGTTTCTAATAACTCAATCGGTACGAACTCTACTAATTTTGAAGAAAAAAATCAACGAGATTTGTCAAAGTCGCGAGATATTCAGAACGAATTTATCATTTGGTTTTTTGTTGTCGCTCCTGATTGTCTTCCAGCAGTTTTTGGGCGCGCCCTTAGTGCGCTTTGTGCGTGTATCTGAATTGCTGCCTCAAAGAATAGCGATTCAATGAAATGAACCGTCGGCGGTGTGTTTGCTTGTCAACTTAACAGGATAATTTGTCAAAGGTTCTTTGAGGCCTTGTCGTCGTTTGACGGGCGTCATCTCAGGTAAACACGCTGGCGGGATGATGAGGGCAGCCGAAAGACTTCGGGCGAACGTAGTTTGGGCTGGGCAGGGTTCTGTAAACGCAACTATATAACTAAAAAAAATATTTGCTTTTCTGTGCCGGATAAAATGTAAGTTATGATTTTTTTTCAGAGCTGGCTGACCTAATAGGTATCTTCAAAAAATAAATTTTGTTAATTGAATTGACCTTTAAGATACCGCTAGATGGAGTAAAGGGCGTCCTTAATTAATTACAAGGATCTGCTGAAGTAATCCCTTATTTCAGTATTGATCAATGGCTTAATACACAAATTAAGGATTTTATTTTAGTAGCGATACATTTTTCGTTGTTTACCCAAACAAAACTAAACGGATCCCTCATCCGAACCTCGTATTTTTCACAGGGACGCAATTCTTAACCCCTGAAGCATGTTGAGTTGACGGGCGGCCCGTGGGCCCTCAGGAATTTTCTTTGTTTTCGCCAAAGGCTTAGGCCCGAGCATCTTCACAAGAGCACGCCAGTATCTGCGTAATCGTCTCGAATAGACAAGAAAATGTGTTAAATGGAATATGCCTGTTTGGGTTAACTTAATTTGTTAAAGGATGGCTTTGTTTCTCCAACGACGTATGTAATAAAGGCTTGAAAAAAGGTTTGGTACCGGTTTGTTTTGCTCTTTTTGCCTCTGAAGTACGTAAGATGTATGCTTACTGTTGTGGTTTTTGCTTTAGCAGCATGACTTGTTTTTTGTGATGATTAAAGATGATTTGACGTTAAACTTGAATCAAGAGTAGTATCGATCGACAACGCCATTTCTTTTTTTTTAATTGTTGAATTATCTTCCGAGTCCTTCTAACCAACTGGACTGGGGTCAATTCATACTTGTCGTTTCATGATTCTGACCGTGAAAATATTACCATAATAATGTACTTAAATAGAATCAATGTGTTGTATAACTTAATCATTATACCAGACAACGATATTATTTCATTACCTAATTAACATTAGTTAAATAACGAAGTGATGATGAAAATACAAACACAGGTAATATAATTTCTAAGTAGGCGTTTATATAAAACTAGCTTTTGCCCGCGGCTTCACCCGCGTGTAGTTTGTCACAGATCGTCATAAATTATAGCCTATTTATTATTCTAGGTTATAAACAATAATACTGTAAAGTTTCATCAAAATC